TCGGGCCACTCCTCTGTCTACTCACCACTTGCTCTCAGCTATGCCTTCAGATGAGTCCGTAGAGCCGAGTGGCCCGTACCTAGAGCTTGTGGGCTGCCTCATGTAGCTGATGAGCTGTACTCGACCTGACCTTGCATACCCTGTTAGCATTCTGGCACGCTATGTTGCTCCTGGGAGACACAGACCCGAGCACATGGCTGCAGCGAAGAGGGTGTTGCGCTACTTGTGCAGTACGTCAGGCATGGGGCTTGTGCTTGGAGGGCGGAGTCCAGTGGTCCTCAGTGGTCACGCAGACGCTTCGTGGGTTGATGACCAGGCTACGCAGCGGTCGTCACAAGGTTACACCTTCAGCCTTGGTTCCGGTTCTGTTTCGTGGCGGTCTACCTGCTCGTCTTCTGTTCTCAGCTCCAGCTGTGAGGCTGAGATCTACGCAGGGGCCATGGCTGCACACGAGTTACGCTGGGTCACCTACCTACTGACTGACCTTGGAGAGTCGCCTCGTTCTCCTCCAGTTCTGTACGTAGACAACAAGGCCATGATGGCCTTGTGTCGGGAGCACACACTGGAGCACAGAACGAAGCACATTGCTCTTCGCTACTTCCTTGCTCGTGAGCTGCAGCAGCGTGGTCAGCTACGACTTGCTTACGTGGCCTCTAAGGCCAACACTGCTGATATCTTCACCAAGGCACTTTCGCCTTGTGATCATCAGCGCTTTTGTACTCTGTTAGGTCTTGTGCCTACTTTGCCTCACTTGCTCACCTCTTGACCTTGCTTGTACTGTGACCTTTATATATCTGCATTTGCATGTTTAGCTTTATATATATATAATCCTGCATGTGAACTGGCCTTGTGGCCTTTGAACTTGTGCTCGGAATGTGTGGTGACGTTGTGATCCACCCTGAGCTTGCTGTGCTTTGCTTGACTGGTCTTGTGACCTCTTGTTCTCCCCCACTTTGCCTATGGGGGTGTGTCAAGTTTATATGCTATGCTCTATCTAGGCTGTAATAGGGTAGATACTATAGGGTACAACATTTCTAGGTTTCCTACTTGTACCCACATTTCACCTAGTCATTCCATTCCTCATTATTCTCACAATTCACTGCTTTCCCATGTCATTCACTACTACCCATGTCACTCCCTGTTCTCCATGTCACTCTCTGTTTCCCATGCATCCTATGTCATTTCACCATGTCTCCCTGTTTCCCAAACCCCGTTATTTCCCCTTTCTAACATTTTCACTATACACCCTTGTTACCCCATGTCCCCTTGTTTTACCTTGTCTCCCTGTCACACCTTCTTTCTCCATACCTTACTCTTTCTCCTTGTCTCCCTCTTTCACCGTACTTCCTTGATTCCACAGCTATCCCTGTTTCCTGATGCCAGGCCATCCCTTTTCCCCATGACTCCCCCTTTCCCCGTCTCCCTGATTCCACCAGGTCTCGCCTTTCCCACGAGAATCCCCATTTCCTCGGGTCTCCTTTTTGCCCCATGGCATTTCTTGTTTCCCCATGCTTCACGGTTTCCCCATGCCTCCCTATTTCATCGCGTCTCCCTGTTTTCCCATGCCTATACGTCCTAGTTTCCCCATATCCCCTAGTTTCTGCATATCTCCCTGTTTCATCGTTCCTCCCCTAATTTCTTAGGCCATTCCCTGTTTCACCTTACCCCACTGTTTTACCATGTCTCCCATGTTTTCCCATGTCCCCTTGTTTCCCCACGTCCCCTTATTTCCCCGTGTCCCCTTCTTTCCTCGTTTCTTCCTGTTACACCATACTTCCCTGATTCCCTATGTCTCCCTTTTTCCCGCCTTCCTGTTGTAACATGTCGTCCTCTTTCCCCAGGTCTCCCTGTTCACCGTGTCTCCATGTCTCTCTTGCCTCCCCAAGTCTTCTTGTTTCCCAACATCTCTGTCTTTCCCTATTCTTCTCTTGTCTTCATCTCTGTGTTTATCCGCCATGTTTCTGTTAGAGGTCCACTGGTGATCCCCGATTGATTCTAGGGAAGGGTTACAGGCACGTTGGCCTGGGGGGTTATGGGCGCACTGACCCGCTACTTAACAAGCCCTTTTATCCCAATGGTCTAGTGGTTGGGATTCTAACATGGTATCAGAGTGAAGGTCTCAGGTTCGAATCCCGGTGTATGCACTTCGGGCATCCCAGTGCGGGGGGGTGTCAGAGGTCCACTGGTGATCCCCGATTGATCCTAGGGAAGGGTTACAGGCACGTTGGCCTGGGGGGTTATGGGCGCACTGACTCGCTACTTAACAAGCCCTTTTATCCCAATTGTCTAGTGGTTGGGATTTTGACAGTTTCCCCTTTTCACATGCCTCCCTATTTGAGGGTGTCTCCTATCATAGCTCCCTATTTTTTTCCCTTTTTTCCTGCTTTACAATTACTCCTTATTTCACCATGGCTCTAGTTTTAAGCCTATGCCACCCAGTTCCCCCATGCCCCTCTGTTTCCACATATCTCTCTGTTGTAAAACTCTTTTCCTCGTGTCCCCTTATTTCCCCATGCCTCACTGTTTTTCCATGTCTTACTGTTTCACTATGCTCTGTGATTCCCCACGCATCCCTTCTTCACAATGCCGTCTTGTTTCCCCATGCTTCCCCGCTTCCCCATATCCCCTTGTTTCCACATGTCTTCCCGTTTCCCTGTTTTCCCATATCCCCTTGGTTCCCCATGTCACCCCATGTCGCCCCATGTTTCTCCATATCGCTCCATGTTTCCCATGTTCACCACAAAGGGTGTTGCCGGAAACCTATAACCAGAGATGCTTAACCCCTTGCAGGAAAACCTAGGGAAACAAGAAGAAACTCTTTCCTCGGTAACAAGGAGACATCATGAAACCTCTTTCCTCTTCTCTTGCGATCTCCGGTGCAGCGTGCAGCGTTTCTGTGATGTGCTACCGGTGCTGCTATGGATGTGGCACAAGGAGAACAAGGCGACGACGCTGAAGATTGCAACGAGCTTTAAGTTCCAATTCATGCTGTTCGTGCGGGCGGACGTCTTGCACCTGCTGAACGGCCTCAACCTTGCATTCCAGAAGAGCAAGGTAAGTTAATTGAAAAGGTCTTTGCTGAACCGTGCCTTCCTAGTCTAAATGTCGGTGCTTGTGTGCTTTCTCAGGTTAACATCACTGAGGTGAAAAACCATGTCGACAAAGTGAAGACCAAGCTTGCGCAGTGGTATGTCGAGCCATCTGCGTCGCTTGGAGCAAAGACGCGCCTCGCTGCCTTCGTCGCCAAACATGGCGACAAGGACAAGCGCGAAATCGTCATCAAAGGAGCGGATGACGACGGCAGCCCTGCGAGCGCCACAATCCTGCTTCACGAGGAAAGCATAGGGGCTGGCGGGAATGACTTAGACGCATCCTATGATCTCGCCAAGCGTTTCGCACAGCGCTTGATCGATACTCTTGGGAAGCGCATGGCTGACATGCGGCACTTCGATGGGGTCCTTTTCTTCTAGCCCCATGAGTAACCCCCCCGTCTAGGTGAACGAGAGGCGTGGCTGAAACTCCATCTGAGCAAAGTCCTGGACATGTTCCAGAACCAGCTCCCTGGTACATACTCTAGACCAATGACTATCGTGTTAAGACATACTCACCATCATTCGTAACTCCTTGGCAGGTGTCTCGGCTGAAGACATAGAGCCGCAGATGCACCTCTTCACCGCCACACTGGACAAGAAGTTCAAGCATCAGTCATTCAATCAAGCGCTCACGAACATGCTCCGCACTTCTGACTGGAAGGATGACTACCCCACCCTTGTCTCTCTCAGGCGTGCAATCTCTGTTCTGCCCCTCAGCACTGTGGAATGCGAGAGGGGCTTTTTGAGGCAAAATATCATCAATTCTTGGGACCGTGTTGCTCTGAGTGATGTGAGGCTGGGAGAGCTGACGACAGTGAAAATGCTAGATTATGCAGTAGACTGGCCAGCTGCCTATGCCATCTTTGAGAGCAAGGGACGGAAGACTGCTTAAAGATATTGCAACATTTTAGGTAGGGGTAGATAGGCTTGTAGCACGTAGTGTAGCGAGATAGGATGCTCATGTCAACAAGCATAACAGTTATGGTAGATAACAGGACTGATGTAGTGTTTTTGTTGAACAAAAGTGCATTCTAGTTTCGGGCCCTAATTATAGGGAAAATATGTCAATGGTAAGTTACATGGGGCACTATAACGCGTACGGTAACGATTTCAACGCGTTTGGTAACTCGCTTAACGCGTTTGGTAACTCGCTTAACACGTTTGGTAACTTGCTTAACGCATTTTGTAAGGAATTTCGTTAATTCCTTACTGAGGAATCTCTTATGCGTACAATTCCAGCTTTCGGAATTCAGGCTCGGTCCGACGACCTCGCCTTCCGAACGTTTCCCGCGTCGCCCTCGGGTTGCCCAACCCCAAACCTGCACCCAACCTTCGCGCGACTCCGCGACCTTCGGCCTAGCTAGATGTGCTATATTATACCTAGGCCTCGTTGTTTGCTCAGTAGTTGTAATCACTTCCGCGATATTGCACTCTGCGCACTCTTCTTTCATACAACTCATAACACCTGGTATCAGAGCTACTTTCCTAGGTTACCCTCCACTTTCCGGGGTAGTTTTAGTGAAGGGGTGCGATAGGTTTGGTGGGCTGCAAAGCGGTCGGCTGAGAGTGTGAGAATCAGCGAACAGGAAAAGTGAATGAACTAGCAGTGAAATGAGTACAAGTAGGAAACCCTAGAATTGTGTACCCCCTATAGGCTAACCCACTGTAGCCTACACAAGCAGAACATATATAATGTTTGACACACCCCCATAGGCAAAGTGGGGGAGAACAAGGGGTCACAAGACCAGTCAAGCAAAGCAAAGCAAGCTCAGGGTGGATCACAAAGTCACCACACAGTCCGAGCACAAGAGCAGGGCCAGAGGCCAGTTCACATGCAGGAGTACAGACATATATATAAAACTAGACAAGCAAGAGCAGGTATATATATATGTCACAGTACAAGTGAAGTCAAGAGGAGAGCAAGTGAGGCAAGACAGGCACAAGACCCAGCTGGGTGCAAAAGCGCTGATGGTCACAAGGCGCGAGTGCCTTGGTGAACACATCAGCAGTGTTGGCCTCAGAGGCCACGTACGCAAGTCGCAACTGACCACGCTGCTGCAGCTCACGAGCAAGGAAGTAGCGGAGAGCAATGTGCTTCGTTCTGTGCTCCAAGCGCTGCTCTCGACACAAGGCCAGCATGGCCTTGTTGTCTACGTACAGCACTGGAGGAGAACGAGGTGGCTCTCCAAGGTCAGTCAGCAGGTAGGTGAGCCAGCGAAGCTCCTGTGCAGCCATGGCCCCGGCGTAGATCTCAGCCTCACAACTGGAGCCGAGAACCGAAGACGAGCGAGTAGACCGCCACGAGACAGAGCCGGAACCAAGGCTGAAGGTGTAACCCTGTGACGACCGCTGCATAGCCTGGTCGTCAGCCCAAGAAGCGTCCGCGTGGCCGGTAAGGACCACTGGACTCCGCCCTCCAAGCACTAGCCCCATGCCCGACGTACTGCACAGGTAGCGCAATACCCTCTTCGCTGCAGCCATGTGCTCTGGTCTGTGTCTCCCAGGAGCAACATAGCGTGCAAGAATGCTCAGAGGGTATGCAAGGTCAGGTCATGTGCAGGTCATCAGGTACATGAGGCAGCCAACAAGCTCTGCATACGGACCACTCGACTCTACGGACTCATCCGAAGGCAGAGCTGAGAGTGAGTGGCGAGTAGGCAGAGGAGTGGCCTGAGGCGAGGAGTACGTGAAGCCAAAGCGCTGAAGGACCTGCTGCACCATGTGTGACTGAGTCAAGGTAATGGTGCGGCGTGCTCTGTCCCGAGTGATCTGCAAGCCAAGGTAGCTGCGCAGTTCACCCAGGTCTGTGCACGTGTGTCTCTTCAGCAGTTCGGACTTCACGTAGGCGAGTCCAGCAGTGTCCGCTGTGGCAAAGACCAAGTCGTCGACGTACACGAGGATGTAGAACGGCGGCAGTGAAGTGTCGGTGCGCAGAAACAGCGACGGGTCAGCAGTAGAAGGAGCAAACCCAAGAGCCGCAAGCGTAGTCCTCAGTGTGTCGTGCCACTCACGCGGTGCCTGGCGGAGACCGTAGACTGGCCGTCGGAGGCTCCACTGGGTGCCAGGAGGGAAAGTCCCAGTGAAGCCAGGTGGACGGCGCAGCCAGATCTCCTCGTGCAGGCTACCCTGCAGGAACGCAGTGCTGAAGTCGAGAGAGTGAAGCTCGTAGTCGCGCTGAGCGGCTATGTGCAGCAGCACCCGAAGAGTGGTCATCTTCGGGGTGGGAGAGAAGGTCTGAAAGTAGTCAACTCCCTGCCGCTGACTGAAGCCACGAGCAACGTACCGTGCCTTGAAGACAGGTGGAGAGCCCGGCGGCCGCTTCACCCTGAAGATCCACATGCCACTGACGATGTTCGCCCCAGGAGGGGGAACCGCGTCAACGTAGGTGCCTGTGGACTTCCAGGAAGCCATCTCTGCATCCATAGCTGCCTGCCACTGAGAGGAGTAGGGACCCTCTACGGCTTCCGCGTAAGAACGCGGAGTCGGGATGTCTAGTGCATCCGGGTCTCCCTCAGGGGCAAGCAGTACAGACGCGAGATGAGGTGAAGCAGCCGCTAGACACTGTAACTCCTCCTGCCTGTCCTCTAGGACGTCCGTGCCAAGAGCACACTCACCCCCGACGGACAGAGGACAGACAGACGCAGACTCAGCAACAAGACTAGCAGCGTAGTCGAGACGACAGCGAACAGCAAAGTCAACGAGCTCAGCGACTAGAGCAGACGCAGCAGTGGACTCAAAAGAGGGGTCAGTGACGACAGTAGCAAGCAGACGCGTGACAGTAGGACTGGCAGCGCGAAGAGAGTCCGACTCAGGGTCGGCAAGCGCAGGAAGAGAGGACTCAGGAGGAGAAGGCAAAGGGGCACGCAGAGGAGCAGTGGACGGACGCAGAGACATCCGGTGCGTGCCAGGGACAGGAGGAGGACGCTGACGCGAACCGCGACCACTAGCGCGAGCAGCACGAACAGGCGACGCGGGACGAGACGCAGGCTCACGACGCTCAGCAAGACCTCCAGTAGGACCAGTGTAAGGAGAGGGAGCAGGCAGAGGAGAGGAAGGCTCCAACAGTGACTGCGACTGGACAGGCTGTGGACACTCTACCGAAGGAGAAAGACCAAGAACCTGCTGTAGGAGCGGAACGAAGTACGGCCGAGGCCGCGCGGCAGCTCCAGACTCAGCAGGGACAGCACCAGCACCCTCAGCGACAGCACCAGCGCCACCAACACCTCCAGCGGCAGGACCTCCAGCAGCACCAGCAGCAGAACCACCGCTAGGACAGACAGCAGTAGTCTCAGCACCAACACCCTCAGCAGCTCCAGCTCCAGTAGGACCCGCAGGCCCAGCAGCTCCGGGACCGGCAGCACCAGCACCCTCGACGGTCGACGAAGCTCCAGCTCCAGCAGCACTCCTCCAGCGGCGAGCAAACCACTCGCGCAGCTCCTGTGGAGAGAGGGGCTCCCGGCGAGACGCAGCAGCAGGAGAAACCCCAGGCTCAGCAGCTCCAGACTCAGCACCCCCAGGCACAGCAGCTCCAGACGTAGCACCCCCAGGCTCAGCAGCTCCAGACTCAGCACCTCCAGGCTCAGCAGCTCCAGACTCAGCACCCTCAGCAGGCGAAGAAGCTCCAGCTCCAGCAGCACGCCTCCAGCGGCGAGCAAACCACTCGCGCAGCTCCTGTGGAGAGAGCGGCTCCCGCCCAGCAGTCGCAGGCTCCGCACCTCCAGGCTCAGCACCCCAAGGCTCAGCAGCTCCTGACGTAGCACCCCCCGGCTCAGCACCCCCAGCAGCAGCACCCCCAAGCTCAGCACCCCCCGGCCTCGCACCCCCAGGCTCAGCACCCCCAGCAGCAGCACCCCCAAGCTCAGCACCCGCAGGCGTAGCACCCCCAGGCTCTGCACCCGCAGCAGGACCAGACTCAGCAGCAACCTCGACTGGCTCGACTGTGTCTACCTGGGACACACCTGAAGGGGCAGGAACCTGAGGGGGGAGGGGGTCTACCGGGGGGGGAACTGGCACCAGGAAGTCCGGTGGGGGGGGGAGGGAAGGAGTACGGTAGGGGAAGAGGCGGTAGAAGGGGACTGACTCGTCGAACGTGACGTCCTGGGAGGACAGAACACGACGAGAGGAGGGGTGGTAGAACTGCCACCCTGGAGCGTCAGGGGGGAAGCCAAGGAAGACACAGGGAGCAGCACGGGGGGACAGCTTGTCCGCAGACAAGTCGCGGACAAACGCCCGAGATCCCCAGACACGGAACGCAGACGCATCGCCGACCTTCCCCGTCCACAGTAACACTGGGGACATCGCGGGCCGAGAGACCCTGGGGTGAAGGTTGAGCTGATGCGCCGCGTACCGAACCGCAAACGGCCACAGAAAATGGGGGGCAGCCGCATGCATCATGGACGTACGAGCGACATCCATGACCATGCCAATGCGGCGCTCAGCAATCCCATTTTGCTGTGGAGAGTCCGGAAGCGTAAAGGTCTGGCGGATCCCCTGTGCACGACAGTAGTCTCGCAGAATGCGAGAGGAGAACTCCCCACCTCGGTCAGAGTGCAGACGCAGAACAGGAAAGTCCCAGCCGAAGCTCCTCCTGAGCTGGAGACGAGCCTCGCGGATCCAGTCGATCAGCACCTCAGTGACAGCACCCTTGCTGCGCAAGGGGAAGACTGAGGTGTAACGCGAGTAGTCGTCAACCACCAACAGGAAGTAGCGCTCGTGACCCTGCCCACGGACGGGGGCCGGGCCCCACACGTCCATGTGAAGCGTCTGCAGAGGAGCCTCTGTCGGGGGAAACTGGGAGGAGTGAGGAGCAGCCCTGAGGCGCCCCTCGATACAGGGGACACAGGAAGGTCCTGGTCCCGAAGGAAGGGGAGGGAGAGACTGGGGAAGACCAGAGACAAGGACACGGGAAGCCATGCCCCGAAGACGGGGCAAGGAGGGGTGGCCTAGACGGTGGTGCCACGGAAGAGTCTCGTGAGACAGGAGGCGACACGAACAGGGGGCAGACTCAGGACCAGACCTGGACGCAGCAGCAAACACCTGACCCGACGCTGCTACCTGACCGGACGCGTGGACAGGAGGAGACTCAGTGGTCAGGGTGTAGAGGCTCGACCCCGGCCGACGCGAGAACGTGGCCAGGTGCCGGCCTGTGCGTGCGTCCGTGCAGTGGGTCACCCGCTGACTCGCAGGAGTGAACTGGTGAACCCCCGCATCCTGCAGGTCTGCACCACTCACCAAGTTCGTCGAGAACGAGGGGAGGTACAGGCCAGACAGGGTGCCCGAGGGGGCAGCCGGACACGGGAGGACAGTGGAGAAGTGGGCGAGGACAGGACCCCCAGAGGGGTCAGCCAGGGAGACAGCAACCGGCCGACCAAGCGGCGTGAGTGTGGTGCGGTCTCGAAAGAAGGAGCGAGAAGCCCCAGAGTCAAGTGTAAAGGTGAGGGAGGCCGAAGCCAACGCGGTACCTGAGAGCGCAGCCTCACCCGCACCTGAGGAAGCAGACTCACTAGCACCTAGAGCAGCAGCCGCACCTGTACCTGGAGCAGGAGACTCACTAGCACCCAGAGCAGCAGCCTCACCAGTAGCTAGAGCAGCAGGTCCTATACCTGGGTCAGGCGGGACGCACAGGTGACCGGCACGGTCAGCACTAGTAGGCAATGCATACATGGCAGTGAGAATAGCATCATAGTCAAGAGCATATATATCTACCCTCTGCCTAAGCAACTCCACCCAGTCGGGAAGCTCAGCCTCGTCGCCAAACACGGTACGCCAGGCGTCGCTCAGACGGGCGAAGCAGCGGGACTGTGTATGACTACGTGTCCCACAAGGCTGACCAGTCCGAGTACCAGTGCGAATCACGTAAGAGCAGCGAACAGCACTGAGAGACCCTCCACTCTGAGCGTACCACTCACGAAGCTGGCGAGGCGTGAGAGACACGCGAGAGGGTCGCGGGAGCTGCATCTGGCCGCCACCACGAGTAGAAGCAGCAGGAGTGGAAGTAGGAGTAGCGTCGCCACCCCTACAGCCCCAACCAGCGTACCACTCACGCAGCTGCTGGGGCGTGAGGGACTCACGCAGGCATCGCTGGGGCTGCATCTGGCTCCGCAAGTAGAAGCAGGAGCAGGACTAGCAGCAGGAAGGCAGGCAGCCAGGCAAGCCAAAAGGCAGGCAGGCAGGCAAGCAGGCGACGCGCAGCGTGCTAGTAGGGCAAGAGCTCACCAGTGGTGGGAATAGTAGGCTCGGCGATTCAGCGGCTCGGCAGCTCGGCGGCTCGGCGGCTCGGGCGACTCGGGCGGCTCGGCGGCAAGGCGGCTCGGCAGCAACTGCAGCTCAGCAGCTCGGTGACTCGGCGGCTCGGCGGCAGGGCGGCTCGGCAGCAACTGCAGCTCAGCAGCTCAGCGACCCGGCGGCTCGGCGGCAGGGCGGCTCGGCTGCTGGGCGGCTCGGGTGCAGGGCGGCTCGGCGGTGGGGCGGCTCGGCTGCTGCAGGTGAGCGATGAAGGAGGAGGAGAAGCAGGGGAGGCCACACACCTGCCACCCCTCTGCTGGCCTCTCCCGCAAGCGGCCCCCTCAGGTCGCCTCGACAGGCGACGGGAAAAGGGGGGGTGGGTGGTGGGGGCCGGTAGGTGCAGCGGCGGGGCCAGTATGTGCAGTTGCGGGGCCGGTAGAAGGGGACGGCAGCCTGGGCGGTCGTGGGCGGCTCACGCTGGGCGGGTGCACGGGCGGCTCGGCGGGCGGCGTACAGGCAGCTCACGGGCTGCTGCGACGGGCGGCTCGCGGGCGTCGGGCGCTAGGGCGCTGGGGCGACGACGGGCGGCGCTCAGGCGTCAGGGCGGGCGGCCGTCAGGGCGCTAGGGCGGGCGGCGCTCAGGCGTCAGGGCGGGCGGCCGTCAGGGCGCAAGGGCGGGCGGCGCTCGGGCGCTAGGGCGAGCTGCGCTCGGGCGCTAGGGCGGGCGGCGCTCGGGTGCTAGGGCGGGCGGCCGACAGGGCGCTAGGGCGGGCGGCCGTCAGGGCGCTAGGGCGAGCGGCGCACGGGCGCTAGGGCGGGCGGCGCTCGGGCGCTAGGGCGGGCGGCGCTCGGGCGCTAGGGCGGGCGGCCGTCAGGGCGCTAGGGCGGGCGGCCGTCAGGGCGCTAGGGCGAGCGGCGCACGGGCGCTAGGGCGGGCGGCGCTCGGGCGCTAGGGCGGGCGGCGCTCGGGCGCTAGGGCGGGCGGCCGTCAGGGCGCTAGGGCGGAACGAAAAAAAAAAAGTACTAGGGCCCGGAGCGCGCTCCGGGCAGGAAAAAAAAAAGTTAAGAGGTAGCGGTGGTGGGCCCTACGAACAGTTCCCACAGGGGAACCTGCTCGATACCATGTGAGAATCAGCGAACAGGAAAAGTGAATGAACTAGCAGTGAAATGAGTACAACTAGGAAACCCTAGAATTGTGTACCCCCTATAGGCTAACCCACTGTAGCCTACACAAGCAGAACATATATAATGTTTGACAGAGAGATAGATACGATTATCTCGCTCCGACTTATAGCGTTTGTGCCTTCATCAAAACCATAAAAATCGCTGTTAACCCGCTGCCCGCTAGGATGAGTCTCCGAAACATGACACAAGCAGAGTTTGACGTGTTTTTGCAGGACTTTCGGGCGATGCAATCCAACATGCAGACTATGTCTGGCGAGTTGGAGCGCCTGAGGGTGGAAAACGCCGAGCTACGCCAGACGCGAGGTGAAGCGCGTCAGGAGTCGGCCGCTGTGGATGAAGCAAGTAGCAGCTTCGCGCCTAACGACGAGGTCCTTAGCGAGCTACGGGACTCGCTGGACGCTGAAGATGAGTGGACGGCACGGATGCAACAATCACAAGGGACGCAGGAACAACAGTCATAGCCGCAGCAACAGACACGAGCGGCGCCGAGGCAACAGTCGCAAACTACACCACGTCAGGCAGCAGCGACAACCCCGGTGATGGCTTCAGTGGCGCCCCCGATGCATGCAGCAGCAACAGTCTCAACAACTGTTAAAATAAAACCGACGAACCCACCCCCGTTCAACCCCAGCGACAAAACCGTCACTGTGTCGGCATGGTTGTTCGGAGTGGAGGTGTTTTTCAATGCTACGCAAATTGCTGACGATGCTACCCGCATTAATTTTGCAGTGTCACTATTACGAGGGCTGGCGTTGGAGTGGTGGAAGCAGACTCTTCAGACAGGGGGGACTCCGGCAGGGATGTCACGTGCGAACGACGGGACCTGGACAACTGCTACGCAACAGGCAACTTCAATCTTCGGAGTGGCCACGATACGCACATGGACGGAGTGGGGCGCCGCGCTGCGAACCAGATTCGAGCATGTATCCGCCTCGGATTCTGCTCGCATGAAGCTGCGCACCTGGAAGCAGGTGGCGCCGGTCCAAGATTACACGGCAACATTCTGCAATTTGGCTGACCAAGTGGACGATATGAGCGACGCGGAACGACTCGACCGGTATGTCGCAGGCCTCAAGTACGAAATACAGTACGAGGTGCGACGGACGAGGCCACGCAATTTTCTCGATGCCGTCCAGGTGGCTGAATCAACGGATGCGCTGATTGTCAAAATTAGAAGAAAGAAAGAGGGTTTGACTAGCAAGAATGGGGATACAAATAGAAAACCCTAACAGGGTTGTACTCGCTATAGAGCACCCCACTACAGGCTAGATAAGAACATTCTGACACACCCCCATAGCCAAAGTGGGGTGTAATCAGCAGAGCAAGCAAAGCATAACAAGCTCAGGGTGGATCACAATGTCACCACACATTCTGAGCACAAGTTCAAGAAGCAATAGTTTAAAGTTCACAATTATGAGCAGAGCTAGTGGTAGTCACAACGGGCAAGTGAGGAGGAGGAGAGAGAGTGAGAGGAGAGAAGATAGGAGGCGACGGCTGAAGCTGCAGGCACACGGGCAACAGGAGGCACACTGGCACAGCGGCTACCGGGGAAGCCCCCGGACTACTGGAGTAACTGGCCCCGCGGCTAAAGTAGCGGCAGACGAGCAACGGACCCACGGGCGGCTGGCACAGCTGGCTACGACTGGGCTACCGGGCGAAGCCCCCGGAATACAGGTGCTGCTGACGACACGACGGCAACCTCCATGCAGCTTCCCTAACTATCCAACTCCCCCTGGCACACACCCGCTGCTACACCGCTAGCTCCACTCCCACGCACCCCCCTTAAACCCTAAACCCCAGTCTCCCACACATCCACCCCCCTCAGCGACAGCTGCAGCAGTGGGAGACGAAGGAGGAGGAGGAGCAAAGGGAGGAATGAAGAAGTGCCACCCCCATACTCGCCACCCCCTACTCGCCACTCCCCAAACCCTAACACAGGCAGGGCGAGATGGCGGGTAGGGAGGTTACGGGGAAGGGGGGGGAGGGGGGGGGGGGGGGGGGGGGAACCGACGCGCGGCCTCCCAGGGCACCAAGACAGGCAGCAGAAGGGGCGGCGCTCGCCCCCCTCCCCCAGCGGCCCCCGAGGGTCGCCTCGACAGGCGACGGGAAAAGGGGGGGGCCGCAGGCGGGGCCGATGCGGGCGGGGACGGGGCCGCTGCGCGCGGCGACGGGGCGGCCGATGCGGGCGGGGACGGGGTCGCCGGGGCGGTGACGGGGCCGCTGCGGGCGGCGACGGGGCCGCTGCGCGCGGCGACGGGCCCACTGCGGGCGGCGACGGGGCCGACGCGCGGGTCCCCGTCGCCCGTCGCAGTGCCTCCCGAGGGCGACGCGCCGAGCGACGAGGCAGAAGCCCGCCGCGCGCCTCGGGGCGCACAGCGGGCAAAGAACCGCCGCGCGCCTCGGGGCGCACGGCGGGCAGAAAACCGCCGCGCGCCTCGGGGCGCACGGCGGGAAGAAAAACTGCCGCACGCCACGAGGCGTGCGGCACAGAGAGTAGCAGTAGCAGTTGCAGCGGAAGCAACGAGGTGGTGAGCCCACCCACAGGATCGATCCAAGGGGATCGACCTGCTCTGATAGCATGTCGAAAATTAGAAGATGCTGGAAGAAAATTTAAGATTAACTAGGGCCTAGGCTTAGTAGCCTAGGCCCAACTAGGATATCGAGTGGGTTTCGAAAGGGTTAGGATGTCGAGTGAGTTGAGAGAGAGTTGGGAAGAATGAGTTTCACTATAGTTTCGAAAAACATATAGCAAAGGAAACAAGTGAAGAGGTGCACCACCTACAGATTTAAATAACTACACTAACTACAGCTACAGGCAGTTACATAATATAAGTTCTGACACTCCCCCATAACTGCCTGCAGCAGGAGTTTGTGTAGAATACAACCTGCAGGTGTACACATGCAAAATAATAAAGAACAAGCAATAGCAGGAACTGCAGGCGGGCTGACACAAGTAGGTCACCCCCTCCATCTTCTCACCCTCCTCCTTCCCCTCCCCCACACTGCTGCAGGAGCAGCAGAGAAGGGGGGAAGAGAGGAGAGATGGAGGGACGGCTGCGTGTTGCCTCACACCCGCCACCCCGGTACCACTCCCCCTGCTCCCCCACACCCTCACACCCTCCCCCCCAGCGGCAGCTGTAGCAGTGGGAACAAAAGGAGGAGGAGGGGAAGGGACGGATACGACCCAAGACTCCAACACCCGCCACCCCAATACCCTCCCCCCCACGGCTGTACGAGGGGAGGCGTGGGTGAGGCAGGGGCGGGTGCACGAGCGCAGGTACGGGTGAGGCAGGAGCACCGTCGCGGGCACCAGGGGCGCGGCGGCCAAGTGCACCGCCGCGGGCGCCAAAGGCGGGTCCGCGACGGCCAAGGGCACCGCCGCGGGCGCCTGAGGCGGGTCCGCGGGCGCCAAGTGCACCGCCGCGGGCGCCAAAGGCGGGTCCGCGACGGCCAAGTGCACCGCCGCGGGCGCCAAAGGCGGGTCCGCGACGGCAAAGGGCACCGCCGTGGGCGCCAGAGGCGGGTCCGCGGGCGCCAAGGGCACCGCCGCGGGCGCCAAAGGCGGGTCCGCGACGGCAAAGGGCACCACCGCGGGCGCCAGAGGCGGGTCCGCGGGCGCCAAGTGCACCGCCGCGGGCGCCAAAGGCGGGTCCGCGACGGCCAAGGGCACCGCCGCGGGCGCC